TTTGAACATGGCGCGCTCGGTAGTTGCAGAGATCGTTACCAGCGCCTCCTCTATTTTTTCTGTGGCAGTTGCGTCGCGCTTGTTCCCGTTGCTCTTATTCTTTGTTTGCAAGCGCTCGAAGGAGTGCTCTGCCGAATATTGTCGAAATATAAGTGCAATTCACAGGTTGCAGTAATGAAACAAGACAGCAATTTTCTATGAACAAAAGACAAAAATAAAAAGAAATGAGTCAGTACAAATTAAGATACAACTGATTGAACTGAAACCACTTGCCAGTCCAACGTTGAAGGTGCGCGCGTGTCGTGCAAGATTTTTAAAGCTTCAAAAACTTCCGTGACAACGGCTTCTTTTGATAAAGCCTGGCCACAAATTTTTTATCAGTGAAGTCGACAGCATAGTTTGTGAACAGCGGCTTCGTGAACTTTCTGCACACAACTTCTATTAATTTGTGCCTCTCGATTTGGTCACAGCAATCACACAGCAGTACTGGCAGGCCAACAATTACATTCGCACACTTCACGACGCACGTCTGGAGAGGATTAAAGAGAGCTGCGTGGTGCAGAAGCATCACGTCCACAAATCTTTTTGAGGGCATGCAGCACACGCACGAGCTCCGCAGTGGAGTTGCACAAGCCACCTCTGTCCTGGTGGGAAATCAAGCCGTCCATAGCACTGGTGCTGCTCCTTTTTGCCTTCAAGACTAACGACACACAGCGCTCGCAGTCAGTCTTTCACTCTCGACGCGAGATATGTATCTTGCGATGAGAAAAACTGCTGCTATATCTGACGTGGGCATAAACGGCTTCGTCGAAGTGCAGAGTTCCTGCAGTGGGTGCTGCGCCGAGTTCACTGCTGCGGCCGCGCTTGTTGTTGATGTGCTGCTTGACTCGCGGCTCCTAATGCTCCCCGTGGAAGCGAACGAAGCTGAGCTCTGCACATTGCTTGTGTGGGAAGCTGCAACGATGCCCATCTTTCATATCTTCTCAATGCTCGAAAGAGTGCTTCTGACATCAAGCATATCATTGCAGCCAGTGCTGCGTCGAAGCGCCCTGGATAGGGATTCGATGGGGTCGCTTGAAAACTTTCTAGTCAACACAAATTTGAACCCTCTATCTAACAGAAGTCTGATTTACTGGACGTTGGTGACAGTAGTGAATACCAGTGCATGGTGAGTTTCTTTTGTTAGAAAGTTCATTGGTGTGCTTGCCATCTTGAGCTGTTTAATGTATTCTAAAAAACAAGTTCCAGCTAATGAAGTCTAGAGTCCTCAGGATTATCAAACTGCCTGGTGTCCGGATGGTTCGGGTGATTATGCTGCTGGCAGTTGCTGACGTTCATGAGAGCAAACCATCTGCTTCCATTATTCATGAGCTCAACAGTTGGGCCGACGCTGGTGAACTTTGCGTCGCACGTGTTCCCGGCATGATCTGTCATGAAGGACAAAGTCGCTGTCACAGCTGATGAAAACAACTGGATAACAGGCTTGACTCCCATTTTGCTAAAGTAGACGGACAGATGTGTTTCCTTGTGAGAAAATGGACCGGCTCTATAATCAGGCCCCACTGCATCTTGTAGAGGTCCTTTATGTAGGTTGAAGAAATTTTGCCATTTCTTCCCAATTCTCGTGCCAGAAATTGCAATAGGATGTTTTTATGGATGTGACTCTGATCGAACGCCAGAAACAAACTGCGGCTTGGGTCGGCGGGAGGAGGCACTCGGATTTTCGGTTGCCCACCCGATAATATTGCCACCTACTTCTAGTAGTGGGTCGTATGCCAAGGTGAAGGCTCACACCATGAAGAAGAAAGAAGTGCGCGTGGACCCCCGCTCGAGAAAACAAGCCCAACCAACGCGCTTGGTTAGAGCCCTGTTTCTCGGACTTCAATAGACCTTGTCGACATCCCCTGGAGCGACGTGACAATTGGTGGAGGTGCTGGTAGCCCCTCACAGATGTTTCAGACCCCTCCTGGAAGCAGCACCACAAGCCCAGTGCGAGTCCACACTCCCGTTCAACGGACAAGCCGCAGGATCAGGGGATTGCCACCCGAAGCTGACCCTACAGTTCACACCAGTATGACCGACATCACCTGCAGCTGCGAAGGATAGCCGGCTTTCACTCTACATAGCACTGACAATTGATGGTTGTGTAGTTAATGCGTTAGTGGACACCGGCACAGACTATTCCATACTGAGCGGGAAACTGACAACGCAGCCGAAGAAAGTAATCACGCCGTAGCATAACTCGCAGATTCAGACAGCTGGTCACCATGTCGTTACTCCACTGGGCGCCTGCACAACTAAAGTAGAGATTCAAGGGTATACATTCGTAGCAAGCTGCCTTGTTCTACATGAACGCTCCCGTGACTTCATGCCGGGATTCGACTTTCTACAGGAAAATGGAGCTATCATTGATCTGCAAGAGGGCCGCGTCACGTTCTCAGCCCAGCGAGCAATCAACGTGCAGGATGACGGAAGGCGTGTCGACGTACTCCGTATTTCTGAACAGAGCGTGACGCTTCCTCCCCGAGGAAGTGTTATAGTCGACGTAACATGTTGTGGTTTGAGCGATGGCGATGTGGTGGCCGAGACAAATTTAGGCAGTCACTCCAGAGTAGCATTGAAGCAAGCAACACTGCTATTATTACATGAGTTGTACTTAGACCGAACGCAGATATACACTGATGGGTCCGTCTCATCCAGCAGCTCATCAAGTGCCGCTGTAATTCCGGCTGCAGAAATGACAATCAAATTTAAGTTGTCACATATGACTACATTACGGCATCAGAGCTTGCTGCTATAAGGGCTGCTTTACAATATCTCGTTCAAGAACGTCCAGGAAAATGGGTCATATTCTGTGATTCGAAGGCAGCGCTTCAGAGTTTGCAGTCTGCCATGCGTAGGAGGAGCCATGACCAACTGGTACAAGAAATAAGACATTGCCATCATGAAGCTCTAGCACGAGGGCATGATATTATATATCAATGGCTGCCTGGACATATCGGTATTACCGGAAATGAACTAGCCGATGATGCAGCGCGCTCTGCCCATGAAGAAACCCGTGTAGTCCCGATTCCTCTATCAAGGAATGATGCAGCAAGACAACTTTACCTGCTGGCTCGAGATCTCACACGCACGTTCTGGTCGTCTACCAGCTTCCAAAGGTGTCAATTTTATGAACTGGATCCTTCGCTAAAGCTAAGCTACCATCACAACTTTCCCGCTCCGATGCGACACTGTTATGCCGCCTTTGGTTGGGATGTGCATCGACAAAGGTGTACTCCTTTCGCATGGTATGGCGGACGAACTCCTACTGCGACTACTGCGGAGATGAAGAAGAAACCATCGAACACGTCCTCTGCAGCTGCGCTTGCTACGACACACAGCGATGCCAGCTACGGATGGTTTTGAATCGACTTGACCCCGGACCATTTGTGTGCGGAAGATACTAGGACCTTGGGCATCTGCCTCAGTTGCGCAGAAAGCAACTAAAGCACTGCTTCTTTACCTTAAGTCAACAAACCTGAGCGACCGCCTGTGAACTGTGTGTGCTCACCGAGTGTGCTCGTGATTGTGTGTACCTTCTCATCTTTGTGTAACATCTTTTCTCCCCTTTATCCCTTCCCCAGTGCAGGGTAGCAAACCGGATGTGCGTCTGGTTAACCTCCCTGCCTTTCCTTGTATCTTTATCTCTCTCTCTCTCTAAAGATCCAGGAAAGGAGAAAAATACCATAAATCTCAAACTTATGGGAGCCGCGACCGCGAGCGCGCCGATTGTAGATAAAAGAGGAGGACGAGGATCGCGGGTGCGCTCGCGGCACGCGGCAGCCGCTGGCAGCGGGCAATCGCAACCCGTGTTTTTAGCAGTAAATATGATTTCTGTCGGTCTCCACTTCTTTTTGACGGGTTCTTGGGCTAGCCTCAGCCTCGAACCTCTGCATTTGGCGCCTAACAGGAAGGACAGCGCCGCTGGGCCACGGACATCGAGGTACCTGGAAGTCCACGACCATGGCCCTGATGACGGCGCTGACCATCCCTACCTTTGCCGGCGAAGACGCGAGGGAATCGGTCCTCGACTTCATTGATGACTTTTTCGACTGTTAGTAGCTTTCTGAAGTCCGACGTAGTTAGGCGGGTCTTCCCATTTGCCCTGCGCTGTGCCGCAGAACGATGGCGGCGTACCTCCCTTCCAGTCCTGGAACCAGTTCGTCGTTGCACTCCAAGAAAAGTTCCTGCCTGTTGCCTACGACTACCGTATCCATCGTGAGCTTGATACCTGGATGCAACACCTAGAGAGTGTTTGCCAGATTATGTTCGGGCCATGCTGAAGCTCTTCTGTCGGGTGGACCCCACTGCACCTGAGGCCGTTAAGGTCTCGCACGTAATGCAGTGATGCCACCCTCGTTTCCAGCTGCATCTGTTGGGTCGCTCTTTTCCTTCTCTCTAGGAACTTGCTCGCTTTGCTTTAGCATATTGCCGAGCCATCTTCTCCAGCCGTACCCACAGTTGCAGAGAAAGGAGGTGAGCTCCATGGAGGTGCAGCAGGGATGCATTGTTGTCGACAGGGTTCATATGGATGTCGCCAACGTTGGAAGCGATTGCTGATGCCTGTTGGACCTTGACGCGACGTGAGATGGCCCTGCAGAGCGAATAAGGGCAGCGATCATAAATGTGGTCACCAAGTCTAGATGACTGAAGCAGCAGACAAGAAAAAAAAGAGGAAGAAGGGAATAAGAGGAAGAAATCGAGAGTAACTGGAACGCAGGGGCACGAGAATAGCACCAGATGAATCAGAGTCTGGTGCCGAGGTGGTTCACACTCGTGACTTTGAGAGGGACAAGGCTGCCCATGATGCCGAACTGGATCCTCTGAAGCAAGACACACTGGGGCATAATACCTGCATCAGTCAGTTGGAACCCAAGTTGGGAAGCTTGGTTGATGCATGTGATGGTTATGTGGTTATCAGAAACCATGTAATGCAGTGTGATGGTTATGTGGTTCAGAAATGTGGTGGTACACCACATTTCTGAACTGGAGGACAAGGTCCGTATTCTAGAGAAAAAGTGGCTGAGGACTGGCAGTAGTGCAGTTGCATGTAAGGCCTGTTTGAGGATTCACAAAAGCGCTGTCAAGGATCAGCAGCAGCAGAACTGTGGTAAGTTCGAAGGGCAGTTGCTGGAGAGGGACACCAAACTGTCAAAACATGCGGCGCAGCCACGAAGGAGAGTTGCAACGGAAGCGCATACCCAAAGACTCACAGCTGGACGAGCTACGAATGCAGGCAGCAGACCGCCGTGTTCAGCTCGTCCAGGCCCAGCACTACCGGGATCGAGAGGCCAGTCAAGCAGGCACTGATTTTGGAACATAGCATGAAGGAAGCAGAGGACAAAGAAAACCAGGAGCGGACCCAAGGGTTCAGGGCTGGCCAGAAGACTTTGTCCGCGAAGGTGCTCGAAGTAGAGAGGCGGCAGCTCAGTCTCTTGTCGCACTCCGAGAAAACATTGAAGCTTGGTCTTAAGAAATGTGAGGCTGTGAGATCATGCAAGACGAGTTCGTAAAGCTGAAGCAGGAGATGGCCTCGGTAGCTATGGAGAACTAGTGACTGATGGTGGAACTTGAAGCAAGGAAACAGCAAGCGAACAAAAAACAATGTGGACTGAGAGAAGAGGTGACGCAGCTGCAGGAATTCCATGGAGAGGTTGAGAGAAAAGGTGGAGCAGTTGGAGGAAGCTGCAGCCAACGCGAGCAACTGCATCAGCGCGACTGGCCTGGCGTGCCACGTGGCTGTCCTGGAGGAACAAAGCTGCGTCGAGAGAGAATTTAAAGGGAAGTCAGGTATTCACATCAGTAAGGATGGAGAAATGAGAACCAGAGGCGTATGCAGTGTGTGCTTCAGCAGGGAAGTCATGACTCCATGGTTGTCAAGGTTACCAGCCTTCCACAACTACCGCTTGGAGGAGTGGCCACGATCGATACGTGACTAGTCCAGAAAGCTACAACGGAAATGACAGATTACAACGGCTTATGGCTGGCCGGGACTGGCGCTGCATCAGGAGCAATGCTGTTATGCCATGCTTTCACAGACGACCATGGTCGTCAACTTGAGCAAGTCTGGTGTGCCCCCGTCCTCGGGCAGCGGCGAAGTTGGCCTCTCTGCGTTGATCGACTGTTCCGGCAATGGTCGTGTGTGCCAGGTGCGGTCCGTCGTGGCCAAGGCTAGCAGCTACCACTTTCACCATACGGGAGGAGGAGTATGGGAACGGAGACAGTGAGCGTGCCAGTTAAAGATAAAGGACGAAGACTTGAATCGTGGGTATGCTCATGGCACACAGCAGCCGCTGGCAGCGGGCAGTTGCGGCCCGTGCTGCGACCAGTAAAGATGGTTTCTGTTGGTCTCCGCCTCTTCCCTGAAAGATTCTTCGGCTAGCCTCAGCCTCGAACCTCTACTACTTCAGCTATCTTGCACACAATGTGACACCACATTTAAAAAACGTTGAAGAGCTCAAAGCGAATTTAAACTGAATGTATCACCGATACCATGCATAGAAAATGTGCTGTGTGTGTGTATATATATATATATATATATATATATATTATATATATATATATATATATATATATATATATATATATATACGAATTTTTTTGTGGATTCAGTGCTTTGTATGCGTTGAGAAATGATGGACGAACGTGCAAAAATGTTTATTACTTCCCACGTTTCGGCAAGAGGGTTTTCGCACGTTCATCCATTGTTTCTCGACACACGCACACACACACACTGTTTTTAAATGCTTCTGATACGCTGTAGTGGAAAAGCATCGAGCTGATGGCAACACAAAGGGACGAGAAAGAGCTTTTACTGAATAAGAAAATGTGGGATACATTCGTCCAATTATCCCTCGAAGGGTTAAGGAAGAACATTTCATGTGTCGTTGATACATGCAATCGCAGCCCATGTCATAGAATGCATTTTTTATAATTTGTCACACAGGCAAGCTTAATTTTCGATGCATAGCATTTTGCTTGGCTATGCAATATGTTTTCATTTGCATGTATGTGTGCATGTATATATTAGCTTGTTTTACCAAAGGCATTGTAACACTCCTCAGGTTGAGAATTTCTGGAATAGCATAGAAGTATTGATGTCTTATAGGTATCTTATGTCCGGGCTTATGTTGTGGCGGTGCCAAGGAAAAAAATAACAAAAAAGAAAAACTGTGCCCTGCAGGTGGAGCCAGTGTGGGCATCCCTGTGTTCAGCCCTGTCCTCCCAGTGCACGTCGTGTCCGAGGGATGACTCCCTCCTGTGTGCCCTGACTCCTCTGCTCGAGGTGGCCCTGGGATATTCACGGGGCCAGGTGCATGACCGTGCTGTCCACCTGTGGCAGTCACTGTTTGCCCGTTCTCCCAGTCTGCATGTGCAGCCCAGGCTCAGGTTAGCTCACATTTATATCCACCCTCAAAGCGCACAAGCATTGAGCAAATGTTTAGAATGCCTCTTCTAACTTCTTCTTGAAGATAAAAAAATTATCTGCTTCAGATGTGCCATGTTTTTTCCACAACCATGTCAGAACGATTCGTTGTAAAAATAGGAGGCTTTTAAGGATGTTCTCCTTATATGGACGCAGTTTTAATAGGTAACATAGGAAAGTGAACAGAAATATGGTCATAATAAGAGATTTAACACTGTTTTACCACAATTTGCCCTTAACAGGAGGTCCTGATACAGTCTTTGACTTTGGGACCTCCTTTTGTATACTAAACACATGTCACATTCTTGTATTCGTATCAATAAAAAATCTGAAATTTTAGGTTGTACATATACTTTACATTACCGGCTACCGGACACCGGATAAAATTTGCACATGCGCGGGTCTTTACGCAAAGCAAACCTTTACGCAAGTTAACTACCCGCTGGATAGGCTTTGCCTTTGTGGCTCTATCTCGCAAATATACCTTCGTTCGTAGAAACTTGCGATATCCGCAGTGCGGAGGCTGCAGCCGTCAAGTCAAAGTAAGCCGAAGTGCGAGCGCCGATAGTGATTAACTCAAGCCTCTTTATAACAAAGTTGCATCTCACATGAAAATAAGTTTTTTATATCTGAAAATTTGTTATAAAAGTTATTCCAAACACTCTATCTATGGCAAAACTATTTATCATTTACTTTGATATCACCAATATTTCGTTATATTTGGGTTTCTGATAACAAGGTTTGAGTGTGCAGTACATTGTTTCAACCGGATTAGCATAGCTAGGATGGCCTAGAACATCGAAGCCATAAACATGTAAGTTCCCGGCAGGCTGGATTTGTGGCGCCATCTAGCGTGGTCCAAAGGAACCAGGAAATCACAAAATTGTTATTGTAAAATCATCATCAATTGTATGTTGGTGTAAAAACCTCGCAGCGGTGTTATCACGAATGAGCTTCCTATTTAATCATTTCCACCTGAAAAACATCATATGCAAGCCAACTTGTTCTAACTTGTTGCACGAAGTGTTGTAAGTTGTCGACATCATCATTGCAGTAACCTGTTTGTGCATACGAGGATACTGTACATGATAAAATAACATCTCGCTATTTTGCCACAGCTATGATTCAACTCTATCTAAGTTAAATATACAGTATTGCTACCGCTGTGCCGATTGTGCCCAACATGCACTAAAAGGCGTGCTCCGACTTTGAGAGAGGAAAATACTTGAGGTTCTTCCGTTGATAATGACATCGTGGTGCATCTGCCTAAAATGCAACCAGAGCCAAGCCAAGACAAACTGGGCCAAATGTTATTCTCAGGATGCCGTTAATGCCTGGTTTTACAAATTTTATAGGGACTGGGAAATGTGCAAAAAATATCCATGCCTTCTATTCCACTCAAGTAATCAAATTGCCACAGCCCTTTCTGAAATACCTGCAATGCTTCCCAGAGTGCACTTATCAGGCATTTCCATGCAGGCCCATGCTGTCATACATACATTCATGACCTGCTGACGTCCATTTGCAAATATGCATTGCGTGGTGAGTGCCACCAATTACTGCAAAGCGCTGAATAAGTTGCAGATTTATCGCATCGAGCCTCTGGAAATGAGGACGGTCTCATGTGGCATTAGTTGTGTGCAGCACATCGCGAACGCAGCTGACAGCGTTCCTACCGGGGCATTTTTGCACGCACGTGTTTGTCATAAAAATGTGTTCTTGGTGCCCACTCGGTTCCTGATCGCCCACGGGTGTGTCACTGGTGAGCTGCTTTCGTTCGTGCAGGCACCACGTCATTGTGGCACACTTGGCCGATTCGCAAAGAATGGCAGTTTGGATGGCGGTGCGTGTGAGTGATTAAAAGCGTGTAGTACGTCGATGGCTGCGCCATGTGCAGTAGCACGCAGTTAGCTGAAAATGCTTATCATAAAGTAATGAAGTCTTACTTGGCTGTTTGCTGCATTTCTGCCGTCACGCCTCCGAGCATTCTTGGTGCTTATCCGTAAGACATCACGTAACTGCGCAGTGACACCGACCCCTTCAGTTTTTCTTTATGTGCTCCACTTTATAGCATTTATGCATTAAGGCAAAGCCGCCTCTCGGACATTACTGTGACGCCAAACAACTCCTAAAAGCGTTTGTTTAAGTGAGGTCAAAGACGTAGCAGAGGCAGGTACTTTAAGGGGGGACACTGTACTTGAGACAAAATGCCAGATATTTTCTAGTGTTTATGAAGAAAATTCACAATGTGATTGAGGTTTTGATGCTGATTTCAAAAATGTAGTTACTGTTCATTTAAACCAATTAGTTTTTGAGATATACCAAAATAATTACCTATTGTTTGCTGGTATATTAACACAAGAAATTTGTATTGCTGAGCTACTATTGGCACATGCCTGTGTAATAATGAACATAGGCTACACAATGGTAGGAGGGCTTTTTTGAATTGATAATTTTACCAAGGTTTATCGCACCTTGCATTTCAGTGTTGCAGACACACCCACTTTATGCTCCAATTTCTGGCAAAAAAATAATTTTTTGAATTTTTGAAGATCTCAATAGAAAATTTCAACCTACCATTGTGTAAACTAAAGATGCAGCTACATGTCACAACAAAAATTGCAGTCCTAGCTGCTCTGGAGGCAGAGATATCTTTTAGACAAGTTTGCAACTGCAGGAAATTTTGAATCCGGTGAAATCATGCAAAAACACAAGTTCATTTTGGGCAGACAGTAGCATGGAAAAGCTGTTTATTTTCAATGATTTGCAAATTCAGCTTTCTCAGTAATCACCAGGCATGTAGTCCTTCTAATTTGTGTCACCTAAACGGCGTTTTTTCAATGCCCGCTGCATGTTTTGAGAGCACACTTGCGAGCTGATCTGGTCGCCGTGTGCTCATCTGCCGACTAGGCCGCTTCTCAGTTCGGTCATGCCCATGTGCGACGAATGTGCTTGCGTAATCCACGGTCCGTCGTATAAAAAAGCGGTATTCCAGCTTGTCCAGATTGAGTTGTTGATGTCGCAGACCGAACTCGTGCACTAGCTCATCAATTTCAAGGCTCCATGAGCTGCGAGGTGTTAGTTTCATTTTCGAATGGAGGCCGCGGTGCAATATGCTCATCGTTGCGGACGCGTCGTTACTAGCACTCTACCTGTTGCCAGTAGCCTCCATTGTGCGGGCGGCGAGCTCATTTACCGTAAACGAATTGATTTTTTGTTGTTGGCCGCACGTCGTCAAACAACAGAAAATCACCGTCACGCAGTTCACGTTGGACGGGAGGAACCCGTGGCATCGGCGCGTTTAGTGATAAAACTGCGCTTTCGTTCTATTGTTGCAAAGATTGCTATCTCTTGTAGCTTCACTTCTGCTTTTTTACTTGCCGTCCTGTAACTGTTGAGGCTCCAAAACACTGCAGCTTTCATCGACGTTGTCGACAACCGACGGGCTCGTACGTAAATTAGGCCTACACCAGTGACTCGGCGACGGCCGTTGAATGCCGCGAGTTTGCTATCCTCTCTGTCTTGAGTATAGTGGGGCTCTTTCTGAAGTTCACAGCGAATGAACGAGCGCCACACCCGCTTTACAAATTAGTGCGGCGAGGAATTTTTTTACTGCGGCAGGCAGTCGACAGCACCATGACAAAATGGTGCATGTCCGTGCCCGTCACGACGAAGAAGCAGACGCTGGAAATGCCACTTGGCCAATCGGTTGCCTAGGTTTTGTCACGTGCCCGAAGCAGCCAATAGAATCGCGGGGTGGTGCTTCTCGGTGACGCATTTTTGCTGAAAAACCAATGAGCAAGGTGAGCCACTAGTGGTGAGAAATTGAAGATGAAGAACGACCCTTTCAAACGAGACCAAGATGATCACGATAGCTCGTGTGTAACGGCAGCAGTTTGGCGTGGAAAAAGCGCGATTTTAGCATCTATTTGTGCTCAGATTCATCTCACAGAGGTGTTATAAATTGATTTTGTGCCAGAAATAATGACGCGAGAAGCTAGAAACTTCTCACATGAGTGCAAAAATAGTTGCAGATTCTGAAAACGTCAACTTCAAAAAGTCGGGGGTTTTTTCGCGATTTCGGCCTTTTAAGTCCCGTGTCTCCTTTTAAGTAATGCTGTTTCATACCTGGAATGCTGTATGAAAACCCGAAAAATCGGACACCGAAGAGTTGCACCGGACGTGGCCGAGTTATTTGTCGGTGATATAGTTTTCTTTTTTTTACTCTGTTATTCTTTTATAGTGAGCAGCACATTGTGATTGTATCATTTGTGTGTCATGAATGCAGTATTAAAAAAAATGGAAGGAAGGGCTAGATGGAAGCTTGTGATGAAAAAGTCTGTAAACAGGGGTTGTGTCAGGCCGATGTTTGGACAAGCGGTCTTGCCTTTCTCAAGGCTAGAACAGAACACTTCTGTTCTGAAGCAGACAAATCCGCTTGTCGGAAGCAGGGCTAGGCAGTATCAGGATACAAAAGTATTGCGATAGTATTTGGAGCATACTTTGGGGTAGCTGTATTGCTTGTACAGTCGAAACCCGCAATAACAAAACCCCGTGAGTAAGAAATCCCCGCGGCAACGAAATATTTCCGGATCCCCGGCGAACATTCATAGAAGCCCATGTATTACGTATATCGCGGCAACGAAATGTTTTTGGACAGCGATGCCGCATTAAGGAATTTTCTACCACGGTGCTTCGCGATGGCGAAGCCGGCTTCTTGGGCTCATCAAAAGAGCATTTCTCCGTGTTTAACTTTCCCGCCTCAGCTGGCTCCTCCCTTTAAAAACAAGCGCACAAAAAGCAAATGTTTGACGGTTGTTTCGAGGCCCTTGATTTGCTGTGGCCGCCATGTTGCCTCAGCTCGCCTCACCATTGGCCCGATGCTCGCTCCGGGAAATCGTCGTCTTCTGCTTGTGCGTTGCGAGACATGGCTCTCGAAAATTGCTACTTCGTGACGTGTTCA